TTGTTTGTTTTTTACTATTATCGAAATATACAGAGTAAACATACTTAACACGGGTAGTCTACTATATACACAAAACCCCTGAGTCTTCAATTACATTCAATAATAAGTTAACATCTAGGGTGTCTATATAAGCCATAAAAATCACATGTATAGCATAATAATAATAATAATAATAATAATAATAATAATAATAATAATAATAATAATAATAATAATAATAATAAAATAAGAAGTATAGCTTAATACTAATATCAACAATAATGACAGCCTATGTGTTAATGTAAATTAATTCAGCACTGTGCACTTTAAAAATCATGATTCCACTTTTAAGAACATTTACAAAACGGTACCCGAAGCACCGAGATCCTCTGAGTACCCCTAAAAGATCCTACAGGGATATTTTTGAGTTATGTGAGGATTCTGCTGTGTAAGAAATATGTGGATATAGTCTTTTTCAAGCGCCACTCACGTGCTTGTGTACTTGTGTGTTTGCCTAGGCCAGTCCATACGAGCTGAAAGAGAGTCCCGGCATGCAGCACCCTGGGTTTCCGGGTGCGCACCCAGCCTTCTTCCCTTACAGTCAGTATCAGTATGGAGACGCGTCCCGACCCAAAAACGCCACCCGCGAGAGCACAAGTACTCTGAAGGCCTGGCTGAGCGAGCACAGGAAGAACCCATATCCCACCAAGGGCGAGAAGATCATGCTGGCCATCATCACCAAAATGACCCTCACCCAGGTGTCCACCTGGTTCGCCAACGCGCGCAGGAGACTGAAGAAGGAGAACAAGATGACCTGGGTACCAAAGACACAACCGGACGAGGAGGGAAACGTTTACCCCAGCGACAACGAGGGTGAGGAGGAGGACAAGCGGGACGACGACGATGACGACGAGGAGATCGACCTGGAGAACATTGACACGGAGAACATCGAAAACAAGGAGGACTCGGACTGTCGGGACGAGCTCAGATCGGATTCAAAAATCACGGAAACGGACAGGAGTGACTCCGACGCGTCCGAGGGGTTTGTGGACACGCAGGGACAGGAGAAAAGTTTTGTAAAAAGCAGCGGGATGAAAGATAGAGATAGCTGCGCGGACGGACAGAGGGACGAGGACAGGAAAAGCCCCACAGCAGAGCCCTTGAGGAATCTAAACCCAGCACAAAAGCCCAAAATTTGGTCTTTGGCCGAAACAGCAACAACACCAGATCATCCGAAAAAGTCTGCAGTAATGAGCAGGACTGCTGTGCAGAGCACTGTGGGGAACATGCACAACTGGACAAAAATGGCCATTTCTGCTCAGCAGCTCGCATTAACACACCATTACTTTGGACTTAAACAGCCGAGCAACAATGTTATGATTAACAAGCACGCAGACGCCAGGACTCACGCCTTATGAGCCCCTTCGTTAGAGACTTTAATGGACAGTGAAATACATATTTTTCGTCGTGTTTTTCTATTTTACATTCTCCGCATGGATAAATGCAATACTTCATTTCCACGTCATAAAACAGTGAATTTGTTGGAGAAAATAAGAGAAAGTGTCTATTGAGTTTTTTACATAAACGAGGCTTTGAATTTGTAACATAGCTATGGATGTTGCCTAGCACTTCCCTTAATATGAGATTATAATAGAGTAAATGTTTATATTGCTAACTTATCCACCTTTTCGCTGTGTTTATTTATCAGAGCCATGTGAACACCCTTTTCTGTCATCAGCCCACTAAATGAAAATGTTGAATGAACAAACCACACAGCAACAATTTAGTTACATGTTCTGGAGGGGAAAAAATAATGTTTCGGTCAGTTACTGATATGAAAAGAGAATGGTGCCTTTTTACACACTAATGAGATCCATATCCTGCTTCAAGACTGATCACAAACAAATATTCGCAAACGAAATAGTTTAACAAAACCTTTTTTAAATTGCTGAGCCACATATTTTCCACGGAAATTGTAGGTTTATTTTTAAAATTAATGACAAATATACTGTGGTTATTTCTGAATGCATTTATTTCTCCACAATGTAAAAACATTTGTTTTGAATTAGTTTTACAAGGTACAACACTTCGACCATTATCGCATATATTTGACGCATATATTATTTAATACGATATGAAAATCATATTCTGTGAATCAAACATTAAACTCGTTTCTTTTATAACTGGTGTACACTGAAGATTTTGCTCATGTTAACTGTTTTTTAAACGCAAAACGAATTTTACCTACTTAAAATATTGTACAAAACTATTTTTTTAAAAGATATTAAAACGCAAACACACTTTTAACTAAACAAATGCACCGGCACAAGTTATGTTTGTGATTAAATGGCGGTCAATTAAAAATAATAGACATATATAATAATACTTTAAATAAAATAAAAAAAAACCATATATTAGTAGAATATAAGATGCAGCAGTTACAAATAAAGTAGCTGTTTAGGTGTAGAACTCACACACTTCACCGTTTTCTAGATATTTTTTTTAGATATGGTTAAAAAAAACAAAAACAAAATAACTTTGCTTATAGTTTCTAATTAAGGGTCTGGAAGCTGGAAGGTGGGCTTTGCAATTTACATAAAAATTTAAAACTAAGACTGGATAAACATTTAAACACTTTTCACTTACTATACCATCAAAAACCATACAGATGTTAAAAAAATATATAACCTACTAAATTATACTAAATACTAAACAGTATTTCAAAATAATGGGCCGCATATGGTGCTTTACTACTTCGATATATTATCTATGGTGATATGCGCTTTTGGTGGCCTGTACTGTAGAGCAATGCTATTTATTAAAAAGCAATTTTGAACTTCTTTACACACTTAAACTGCGCTGACCTTAAATTTGAATGGTTTCATAAATAAAATTCAATAACGTTAAGTTAATGAAGCCTTTATAAAAGGCTAAAGTTAATAAAGCGTTTATAAAAGCACTTCTGCTAGGATAAAGAGGAAGATGTGTGCTGTGGGAACAGGTGGGGTATTTTACATTAGAGCTCCCTCTACAGGAAGTCCACAGAGGTCGTTTGATTTCCATATATGATAGAGTGAGTACATTCAATTTAAGCATATTTTCTGGTTAAAAGAAAGGGGGAAAAAAAACTTTCTGCTCCCCACCATTAAACCTAATTTGCCTTATTTTATCTAGGATAATCATACTGTCACATCTAACACCAGATATTAGCATATCTGACAACATATTACCCTCAAATATTAATAAACAAATTGTCTTCTTGTTGAATAAATAAAGTTTTCTTATTAGAAACATGCTAAACGACATAAAAGATGTCAAACATTGAAGCCATTGTGCTTCCAGAGCTTTTGGTTGGGTGAGAAAAGCAGAGGACAAAAAGGCAGTGGACGTGTCACTCGGGTGGACAGGCTCTATAGAGAGGGAGGAGGCCCAGATTTCATGGCCGTTTATGAGTGAGCATTCTGAGGGGACTGCATTCAGGGTAACACAATGGGGAATCGTCTGGATGCAGGAACAGGAGGGCAGACGGGGGGCCTGCACCATTCACCCATCACCAGGCTGAAAATTCCTCGCTCTACTCCCACAACCCCTTTCAGGAAAAGTTACAGGACAATTATGGTAATAGTTCCGCTTTGTCAAGGGTAAAGGCGAAGGCCTTAGAGGCCAGAGAGTTCTTATTCCACTTGACATTTACACTGGCCCACTCTACGTGTACTCACAATTTGGCTGATGCAAGGTGCCGGCTCATGAGGAACACAGCTATTACAGATGGGATTGGAGGAGGGCTTAAGGACATTTCCTGGTAGCACACTGAAATAGCAGCTGCTACTGAACTAGACTAGTGTCGAACATTTAAAGTAAGTAAATGCTAACCTGACAATTAGTCAGTTAACTAGGAGGAGATGGGAAAACAACTTCTCTTATTGCTTGCAAGGCTGCATATTATTCATTATAAAGGCCCAGAATTTAGACACAGTGTGTGAACTAATAAGACACAGTTTCTTCGTCACTTGAGAAAATGTGCTGGCAGTCATCTAACATAGTGGTGCCAGTTTCAGCATGGTGGCTGCTGGCCAAGCTGTGAGCTGAAGTCAATGAGTAACACAGTATGAATCTTCATTTCAGCTTCACAGCTGTTCCTGTTCTTCTTTGTTCTGGCCTATATTTCATGCGCCGCATTATTTGTATTTGGGGCTTTTATGTATGAAAGATCAGCTTGTCTTTGACTTAAAATATGTGGACAGACACTGATAAGCGATATCTGTCCCAATAATGCATGTATGAGCTTTACTGTCAGAGAGTTTTTAACTACAGACATTTTGATTCATCTTCGATGAAAGTATAAAAATCTATCTGGAGCAAGACTGTGAACAAATATCCCAGACATTCCTCCATGTTTCCTTGCAATATTCACAACACTCTCTGTGGAATCTCCCATGACCTTGAGAAATGTGTGAGACCTTAGATCACTGTACAATTAAACAATCAAACATTGAAAATAGGACTCTCTCAAAGGGCTGCACCCCATATGACCATGGGAAATCGCATGGCTAATATAATTTTACAGGTGGATACACAGGAAGATTGGTATGTAATTACTTGTATTAAAATGTCAACCTCGAAGAATTCCCAAGAGTCCTCCTCACTTCATGTTAGGGTGGACTCAGAAAGTATCATGTGTCGGGAAAAATACACAGTTGGTGGATTATGAACTTTTGTAAACAGTAGAGGCGGTTTTCAGATACAGAGATAAATAAACAGGGAATTTGATGCTGAGGTAAAATCTACATCCACTGTAATTATCTTCAACTGCTATATCCCAAGCCTATCCCAGGGAGCATATCCCAGGGGCACAAGGCGGGGTACACCCTGGACAGGGTGCCAGTCCATCGCAGGGCACAATCACATACACACACCCATTCATACACTACAGACAATTTAGACACACCTACCATGCATGTCTTTGGACTGGGGGAGGAAACCGGAGTAACCCACAGCAAAGGGAGAACATGCAAACTCCGCACCCCGGCGGGAATCGAACCCCGGACCCTGGAGGTGTGAGGCGAACGTGCTAACCACTAAGCCACCGTTAGCCACCACTGTAATTAATTGGCTTGAAATTGTTTTCTGTCATTCATTTATAGTAAAAGCAACATCATTGTAGTCATATTGCAAGTTTAGAAGAGACTGACCAGTGATTGCAACCTAAAGGTTTTTTTTCCCCCCAGTTTGTCCCAGAAGGGTTCTCTTTCAGAAACTATAACCCATTTAAAAAGTTATTATCCAAAGAACGCTATATGAACTTTTTTAAAGAAAGCTGGGTTTCTGTACAATTTTTGTAAAATATATTGTATAAATTTTTAACATTCTTCATTATTTTTATATATTTTTTTATTATCTTATATTTTCTACTTAAACATCTATGAAAACAAGGAAACTAAGAATTTCATTGTCCAAGGAACTTTCCATAATAAAGTCCTTGAATCTTTCTACTGTCTGAAGGTGTTATTTCAGCCTTAATGCCTTGCTGGTACTTTATAGTCATTCTTTGGCAGGACTGCAGTCCGATGGGACAAGCTCTACCTGGAGCTGTTTTCCTTTTAAGTGTGTACCATTTCTCTCTCACTCTTTTTCTCTTCCTGACACCCTGTCACAGCAAGTTCTCAAACACATGTGTGCATGACCACTGCAGCTGTCCAACACCCTTCACACACTCCCACTAAAATAGCACCAGACTAACCAGGCCACTAGATCATCTGTGTCCCAGTATATGACTCGTCGTCTGGGTAGAGGATGAGGTGTGGCCTGCTTTTTCATGGAACATGCCTGGCCCTTGTGTTGGCTTTGACACACACACTCTAATGAAAACCAACACAGAAACACAAGGTACTCATGGGGACAGCTGTAACACAGACATGCATTACTTTGTTTTGAGCATATTAGGGTGGTACAAGGTTTATAGTCACATAATGTGGCTTGAAACATATAATCAATAAGATATTTAAACATGACAGGATAGATGTAGAGCTTTTTTTTTCTAAAGAGATCTCCAGAACAGCTTATAATGACCGTAGCTCTGCACATCTTCTGCGATGGGAAAATCATCTTTCTGTTTCCAGATCAATACTTTAATATACATCTGTCTTTTATTTAACAACAGAAGAGACAGAAAGAGAGTAGATGGTTTGTAGAACTCATTGGCCTCATTCATAATTACAGCTACACATGTAAGACCAAGGGCAGTCTAACAAAAGGTTTGGTCACGAATGGAAGCAAAAAAAACAAAAAAAGATAGCAACAAGGGGACAGGAGAAATCTCAAAAGGCTTTGAAAGTAGTATACAGCCCTTAGGCTATCCTTTCTCCTGCCATATACCTGAAAAAAAAACATCGTAGCCAGAGGACGTTGTGGAATTCAGCTTAAATTAAATATGAGCTTGTTTCACCAAGTGAATAAACTAGTTCTTGCATGTTGCCAACCTTAGTGAATCTAAACATTTATATTCACATAATTATGTCTTAATATTATTCCATCACCTGGGAACTAGTTTGATATGAGGGTGTAATGTAATTATAATCACAGACAGAGCAAGAGGTCAGAATTTCTGTTTGGAGTCAGGATTTCAGTTTGGAGCGCTTTGCTGTTGAGTCTAGGTAGAGCAACGGTGCTATGATGTTTCCATATCAATTTTTTCTTAAAGGTGGAACTTTCTTCAGAAGTGTTCTCTGGCTCCTTCCTCTCCCTGAAGCCTGGCAGGGATGCAGGAGCGTGAACATGAGTGATGGTCAGTTTCAAAAGAAAATACACAACTTTTAAAATATCTTATCAAATGGACATCTTGCTGAGCTTGAGAAAGAGAATATTTCATTAAAGGTCTTATTATATGAAAGGCCACACTGTTATGGCCCATGGTAACATAAAGAATCTACCAATCCACTGCAGCTGTTCAGGTCTAGTACTCGAGAAAGTAGAAGATACAGACAAACACAATGGGCTGTCCAGGTTTCTCAGCAGGATGTGTTTTATTTATTTGCTGAGCTCGTGGGTGGATGAGAGGCCATATTTGTCAGGTGAATAAGAGGAGAGGTATTGAAGTGTATGAAATATTCACAAAAGCAGTAATGATTCCTCTGACAAAGCAAAGGGGCATTGAGAAGAGAAAACTGGAGGTGGAGAATAAGAGAGGTGGATAAAAAAGCTCCTGGCCCTTTTTCCAAGAGAATGGCAGACAAAAGAGCAGAGATGCCAAATAGATTCCTTTCAGATGCCTCTTTCACGTCCTCCAGTGGCATCAGAGTACAGCAATGGTTATGAATCAGACCATTTCAACGCACTTGACAGACGGTAATAAATGTGCTAAAATTCTATTGTGTAAAAGGCATCTCTGAGGGAGAATCAAAAGAACGTCACAGAGGCATGGGCATCTCTGGTCACATTCATATTTATGACTATTATTACTAAAAAGTGCAAATGCATTTGGTTGTACTGCATTTGAAGATCAAAATTTAAGTACTTTTTGCTCCTTCAGCCATGGATCACATAAAGGGTCGGGAAGAAAAGAGAGGACAACCGAAAGAAAGAGAAATTAAATAGAAATGTCGAAATTAAACAAATTTTTCCCCTCTCTCTTAAAGTTAATAAAAACAAAACAAAAAATGCAGCTTGTCATGTTACAGAGAAAGCACAAACCCCTCTGTCCTGAAGACTTTCCCATAGTGGAAAACGTAGTGACTGTTACTAAGCGCTGACAGTCGAGATCCTAAATAAGAAATATTCATCTCCTAACAGAAATCTTCACCATATCTTAAAAATGTATTATTATGACAAGTGTTCATAATCCACATAGAATGAAATTCCCTCTGGGGTTTGATGCTTTACCATATAGAGATTCTGTACAAAACCCCCAAAATTATTTTGCACTTAAAAACCATACATCTGTAAGAAAAAGAGCAATTTATTGCAACATTATTTTGTAGTGAAAAAGGAAGAAAGCACAAAAATATTTTTTTACAAATCTGCATGAAGCATAAAACTCATAAATAAACTTTTGAATAAAAATATATCATATCTGAGATATTACTCTTCAAAACATATTTATAGCTAGAGAACTCTGGATATCTCTCAAACCATAAGATTAAAGTGGCATGTTGTTACAAACCTATAAAGAAGTCTAGAGCCTTGCATAACCAATAAAACAAACACACACACACACACACACACACACACACACACACACACACACACACACACACACACACACACACACACACACACACACACACACACACACACACACACACACACACACACACACACACACACACACAAGGTGTCAAAGCTGATGGACAACAACATTTGTCCATTTGTCAAATGCATAAGAATAAGTGTGCCCAGAGGCTGTTGGCTACATAAACAGTGGTTAATGAGCCCAGTCATGAGGTCAACACCCACTAATGTGGCAGAAGTGGAACTGATAAGTTGCACTTAGTGGAATAAAACTGGAGGGGCTGAAGTAATGGCTGAAGTTTAATCAAATCTCTTCAGTAGGAAAATTTCAAATCGATTTACTGTTATTTGTGTAGCACTTATAACAGACACATCATCTCCCCTCCAGCCCCATTCTGCAAGCCATCACACAAGCATTTACAATTTCATTTCATACTGGATATAAAGTTAGTGTATTATTTTACAGGTAATAGTGAGTTTCATTCCCTAGCATACACACATTACCCCATCCAACAATAAAAACATCAAGTAGAAATAGTAAAATAAAAAAAAACAATCAATCAATCAGTAATAATAATAATAATAATAATAATAATAATAATAATAATAATAATAATAATAATAATAATAATAATAAAGGAAACATTAATTAAAGTTTAGCCCCTTCCAAGCCAGGCTGCAACTACACAACAGACAACTGAACTGTAGTAACGAGACTAATATAAACAATAATAATAATATCAAATCATGTTTTTGCATACAGGAACCTCATACTAAAATCTAGGTAATGGGATTTAGTGTAACAAGTATTTTGTAATTGTTAATAAGCTCATGTGTTGTACATGTGTTGCTCATGTGCAAACACAGTGTATTTGTGTACAAGAGGCACTGTGATACTGCATTGGAGCTGGACAAAGACACTTTATATTCACATATAATATTGATATTATTGAGACTAAATAAAAAAAAACATATGTAACATGCTGTATGATATGATACGGCAGAATGAAACTCAGCATGTTGCTTATTAAGGGATTTCCAAAACCTGTTACGGTGGTTTGATTCAGGGGTTAATGCACATGCAGGCAGAAAGGGATAACCCATCATATATCATACTGTGATCTGCTGAATGCTTTCCTGTTATTGGCCCACTGCTGCAACACCTGCATAAATTAGAATGAGTTTAATGTAATTTAGATGTATATGAGGAGTACATTGGGATGCATCATATGCATATGACATGGAAATGTGTGACTTGAGGGTGAGACATTTTTCCACGCCACTGAAGCCGATTCATCAGATGTATATGCATGAATAGTTTCATGAATCACAGGCAGATTCATTCATATTGCCATTCCATGCACTCTAACATCTGCGCTCTTTTCTATGTAACTCTGATGACTAAGAGCCATATTTGAAAGGATCTCTCTGTTATGAACAACGGTGACAGAGAAATATGTCGAGAGATTATGATGAATCAACAAAGAACACAAGACTGAGAAGAGGAGTCCATCCTCCCCTAGGCAGCAGAGGATGGTGAAGCTAAACAGCTGTATTTGGAACATACAGAGGGCACACAAGTCGTCTTCTAGATCTAAGAGGTCTATTGATAATTTAGAATTATACAGTGCTTTGGAGATAACAGAATAGTCAAGGATACATAAACATCTCATACAACACAATTCCTTGATAGATTTAGAAGAACATGAGGATCTTGAACATATGAGGTTCAATATTAAAAATGTTGTGGTATTTTTTGTGGTACAAGTGTATTCACATGCTATGACTGCATTGAGCAACTGGGCGAACAGCAGGAAAGAGTCAAAGATAATACAAGACCATAAATAAGTAGATTAGCATTTTGTTGTT